CAATGATGCATTTTACATACGTTCATAATTATGTTTTTGGTCTGAGAGTGGATAGTTTTCTCTTTACCCTGTTTATTTGACATAGTTAACGAAAATTGGTAAAAGATATGATGAGAAAATTGATAAAAGAAACTTCTAATTTTAAATAAAATTGTAGAAGTATACAAAAATGAGTATACAGAGAAGACTGAGGGATCTCTCTACCTCTGTACTCACCCGCAAACTCATCTTAGATCCACTATACTTGGTGGTGCAGAATTTGATTCTCAACAATTTTGAGATGCTTCTCTCAGAGAACTCATTTCCAAACGGCAGGGCCATTAATAGTAATTGTTTTTCAGTTTTTAACAAATTTGGTAAAAGTCAGCGTTTCTTGACCCTGGATTTCTACCATACCACTTATTCAAATTATTAAGTTTAGGTACCCATTCCACGCACAATTTAACGTTCTTTGTCATTCCTTAAAGAATAAGTTTTTCGCTCCAATTTATCGTTTCATCATGATGATTATGACAGAAGTTAACGTCGAGAGGTGGTCAGTGAACCCCTGAAGGCTTCTAAACATGGAAACCGGCATGAGGGATTTGTTTATCTTCGGATAATAAGCGTCTTACCGTGAGAAAATCCATCTAGTTATGGTGAAGCCACAAGGAAGCTTATGTGTTTGGATCGAAAGCCTGTTACATATAATGATTTTTAAGCTCGATGTCTCAAGTTAGATTTGGGCACAATACATTGACATATTACTGTACAAATTGTGTTGAATCTGTCATTTAAATGCTATGTAACAATTTTTTCAACGAATGCCTCAACACATTTTTAAGTTAGGTGGTTCAAATTACTCAAGGAGATTTCCTGAATGTTTTAAAAGATCTTGATCTCCAAATTCTGAAAAAAATCTAAAGTTTTTTCATAATTTTTCGTTGATACATGGAAAAATAAAAAACATAATATAATTCAATTAATGACAAAACCAGACTATAGAAACAAATCAATCCAACTTTAGAGAATGTGCTTGCTAACCTACTTATAAATTATTAGAGAAAGTGACGTCTACGAATATTTAAACTTGGTGTAGTAATCAGGTGCCGGGCATCATAAAATCCAGACGAGACTTTTGTTTCGAAACTCAATTTTATTACTAAAATAATATTTTGTTTATTTATTAATCTATCTTTCGAAAGTCTAGAAGAGAGTTTAAGAAGGTATGCCAGTACACTTCCCTATGATGCATAATGCTATTTCTGTTGTTAAATTTGTTTTTTTAATTAAAATTATATTTTTGTAATATTTTGTGAACTATAAATAATTGAATATGGCATTCAATCCTACCGAACATCATCTAGGAAGCCTGGACTTCGATTCATATTGTTCATCTGCAATACAAGCGGACGTAGCTTGGAGGAACATCTAAGGAATTTCCACTGATTAACTCTACATCCGTAACAGATGAAACACTTTTCTACTTGATGATAGATCAGGTTGAGGTTTTGATGATTTATGAATTATTTGATTTATAGAATTTACCATAAAATGTAGACTTCAATAAAACTAGGTATGAGATGTTAGTTAAGTTTGAGAGAAAAAAAACCTCAGGAATGATTGGAAGAATATGGGTTGGTTGCGTGATGTTTTAGTATAACTTAATACTTAAAGTCAGATAGATTTACTACTTGTACTGAAATATATAACTGAAAAAATTCATAGTGCATTTATAAAGTGCATATCTTAAGCCAGCTTGGGTGTTATTGATGCGTGGTAAATATAATATAAAACATTTCTCAAGGTTCTCACTCAGAGATAAATTGAGGACATATCAGCATCTTTAATAATACACACACGGAATTGTTGGAGTAGAAATATATTCATAAATATATCACTTCGATTCTGCCCCACCTTTTCTACAAATATTTCCGGCCTATAGAGATTCAGAATTCTGGCATAAATATTGTCTCCTCTATTATTATATAGTTATCTCTTCCCGTTCGGCTAAGATAAGACCCTTAGAGGCGTGGGGATACAATAGCTTCTGAGCAGCCGCTCAGGTGCGAACATTGGATATCTCTCATTCTCGGGACTAGGGCTCAGAACAAAGCTCTTTTACAGTTCATTTGATGCACAAGCGGAACAAGGATTTAATTTTTTTTTTTGGGGGGGGAGGCTTCAGCCCGAAAGCTTTTTTTCATATATATATATATGAGTTAAATCATAAAGGCTCTCTTGATAATGACCAACAAAGCGTTTTCCATACTGTTAAATAAAATGTTGCAAAGATTAAGGGTGTGGTACAAACGTATTTTTATAGTAAGGCTTTAGAACAAATAGATCTCGACACTTTTATACTTTTCACACTTACACTTTTAACACCGACCATTTTTTTGGACAATCAAATCTTTAAAAAATGATGAGAATTCAATGTGCCACTACATGCTCGTTTTATTTATTTTAAACAAGTTTTCGACAGTATCAACAGCAATGAAATAAAAAGAGTAATGGAGGTAACGGAAAAGTTAATTTAATTAATGAAAATAGCACTAGTAAATAGCTACTATAAAAGTCATGGTACTTGGAGTACTGCCGGGAATTTCGCAATCATGGATAGCCTAAAGTCAAGGGATTCCAATTCTTTTTAATCTATCCTTAAGTAGCGGGGTAGCTCAGTTTTAGGCCACTAAGCTTCCAATGAACAAGGTCCTAGGTTCGAATTCCATTGGCCATGGGGCGACCATGGGGTAGGAGAACCTACTGGGGTACACCCAGCCTCTACAAAATGGGTATCGTTAATTAAATAATTGAATAAGGGAGAAAACCTGAGCGTTAAGCGTGATTCTGATCAGGTCCCTTCTCTGCAGAACCGTTGGCGTTGAAACAGTACTTTCCCTAAATAGTACTAAACCTTTCTTGTGTTGTCGTGATAGCTTTTTTATTTTTAATTTTTTATCAATCCTTAATATATGCTGCATGTGTCATTCGTACAAACCATAAGGACGCGTTTTATATAAGATTATTACAAACTGAAATACGCCAGAAAGACTTATCAATTTTAGAAGCCATAATTTTAGAATGGCCAGCTAGTTTATGTTCTTGAGAGCTCTTATCACAGCAAGAAACCAGTACTTAAGGAAAATGTAGTTTCCATTTTATTGTAATACTTATAATTTGTTATGTATGGGAAAATAATAAAAATCTATAGCAGACCTGAGCCTCCAGAAGAGAATACGGCATTAAGTGAAGATGTTAGTTCTTTATATTTTTATAATATATATTAGCCTACAATTAAAATAAATAAATAATATTTTAGTATATATATATATATATATATATATATATATATATATATATATTTAAACTTAACTATTTAATTGGGAATAAGGTCACTTATTAATTATTTAATAAACTATTGAATGTTCATTTCTTCTGTGTTTATTGACGTTTCGATCAGGGTATTTTCTTTTTATAAGTCAACGATGGGAACCTCTTCAAAGCTAGAATTTTAAAAATAGAGCTTCGATCAGGCCAGGGACCCACCGACAGTCTCAGCACCGTCCACTAGTACATATGTTAAGGTATTGTTATTAATTTGTTGTTTAATAGCAGGAATGGCATGCACGTGTGTGATATGCCATCCCTGCAAAATCCCGTGTAGCCGAAAGGCAAGGAAGGGAGGCATAAATAAATAAATAATATATTAAGCTATTGTAGAACATTCAATAGTTTATTAATTAATTAATAAGTCACCTTATTCCCAATTAAATAGTTAAGTTTAAATTTAATACTCCAAGGTCGATTAAGGAAAAGTTGTAAATATATATATACATTATTATCATTATTATCATTATATATATATATATACATCTACCAATAACGTTGGAATGAAACATAAAATCTTAGCATATGCCGATGATATAGCTGTCCTCAGAAGTAATCAAGAGGATATTGAGAGACTCGCTCGGACTCTATTAAAAGAAGCAGAGCAAATCGGACTACAGGTAAATGTAGATAAAACAAAATAAATGATAGTTAGCCGAAACATCCACCCTGATAACATGATCTGCGTGGACTTTAAGTCATTCCCGAAAGTAGACAGATTCAAATACCTCGGTTCTACAATAACCTCAATAAATGTTCAACTAACAGAGATAGACCAGTAAATAACAAGTGCGAACATATATTTCTTCTCTCTTTCAAAAGTACTGAAATCCAGAAAAATGTCCAAGAATCTCAAAATAAGGGTGTACAACGCCGTGATCAACCGCTGTACGGTTGTGAAACCTGGGCTCTAACCGGTACACTAGAAGCCAGTATTGAGAGATTCGAAAGAAAAGTTCTACGTAGGATAACAGGACCTATATGGGACCAGAGCCTTGACACATGAAGGAGAGGGAACAATAAAGAACTGCTGAAAGAAACGGGTCAGTTAATATCTCACGACATGAAGGCAAGGAGGTTAAGATGGGCAGGGCATGTAGCTTGTAGCAATCCATCAGGACGCCTTTACACGACATTGAATGCTATGGTAGTAGGCAAGAGACCACGTGGGAGGCCAAAAACCAGTAGATAGGATAAACAAAGATACGGCTGAGCTTCATGCCGCAAACTGGAAAGCAGTAGCCCAAGATAGGCAGAGGTGGAAAGGCAGTGGGCGGGGTAAGCCGAATGGGCTAAAGCGTGTGCTGCACCGCCGTTGCCTGGCAACCTGACATATGAATTATAGATATAAAAATAGGCACGAGTTCGCGTCCCGGTGCCGGGGGAGTCTTTTAAATCCCCGCCCACACTCCCTGGCCCGGGAAAATCCCGTATAGCCTTAACGGCGAGGAAGGGAAGAACAAAAAAAAAAAAAAAAAAAAAAAAAAAAAAAAAAAAAAAAAAAAAAAAAAAAAAAAAAAAAAAAAAAAAAAGAGGTGGAAAGGCTGGTTCAAGTGGCCAAAGATCTACAAGGTTTGTACAGCCAAACGAAGAAGAAGAAGAAGAATATGTATATATACATATATATTTACCTTGAGAGCTTGTAACTGGCTTTCTATTTCTCCCTCGGCGAATGTTACAGCAGCCTTGCAGGATATGTTGGAAACCTCAAGTTTAGTGACCAGGTCATTCATTCCCTGTTAAACAAATATTAAACACAAATAAATGAAAATAAATAATAATTAATAATTAAATAATAAATAAACAATTAAATAATAATAATTAAAATAATTATTATTACATTTTAAAAACTACAGTACTAAAACCTTATAAGCCATCAAGATATGAAATGTTGTTCATTTTAATAATACAATTTCTATATAATATATTTACAAATGTTTGGTATTTTAGGGATTAATATTGAGATTAAAATTCATAGCTATTAAAAAATTGAGCATCTATACGCATTAGTAATAATAAAAAATGAACTTCATAATATTAATTGACTTAATAGCTGTTTTATTGTATGAACCTTGAGTATAAAATAACATTCGGACATTATAGTGGACTGAGCTAACAACAAATAACGTGAATTGATAAGTATTTGAAGAAACTATTTAAGGTCCAACGTAAGCGAAATATAGTTTTTACAGTAAAGTTTGCTAGAAAAATAAATAATACTGCAAGAAAACGAATTGACAAATGCATCAGTAAGGCGTCAGGTGTATACTATAACGCAAAACTGTTGAACATATCGGGTTGGTTTGGTTAGCTTTTCCAGGCTGCACTGGGAATTATAGGCAATGGAGATTCATTAATATTTAAGATAGCCTGAGGGGGCAAACTTTTTCTATTTAATTACGTACTAAAAACTCTTAAACACCCATTTGTTTTCTACTTGGATTGTCAGATAATTTGATCCCAAAATCGATAAAAAAGTTGACCTACAAAAATATTGGGTCGTGTGTCCTATACAACCTCGTTATTTTGAAAATTTGAGGTGTAGATCACGCCAAACGACTCAATATTTTTGAAGGCATTTTTTCTCTCTCGATTTCGTGATCAAATTATCTTCAACTCCAAATAGAAAGCAAGTGGGTATTTACGAATTTTTAGTAAGTAATTAAATAGACAAAGTTTGCCCCCTTCCAGAATGAAAACGCCCCAATTCAAAGAGTTTTGGTAAATAAAATAGTCGTAGGTTACGTTGAGATTAAACTATTTACAAAGTTTCAGGCGGATATTAATATTTTGATACAAAGAGGTCTGTCCCTCGGACTAATATAATATACATTAATTATTTTAATCATATACATATTTAATTATATAGTTAGTAATATTATTTAGACTTACTGCCACTGTATTTATAAAGGATATCGTTCTATATTGCAATTTTTAGATTATGTATAATTATCAATGTAATTTAATTGTATATAATAATAAAATCAAAATTATTTGGCAAAGATATATACACATCACAAATTTACAGAATTAAATCTTAAGTTTGAACGCTTTAAAAAAATAATTAACGCTTTAAAAATTGCTTACTTCGCTGATAATTATGGCTTATTGATATGAAAAACTAATTGTATTAAAAATCTATGCCTAAGTAAATGACAGAAGTGGTAGTTCATCTATCAAGGAAATAAATCTTTTTAATTATTTTGTTCCAACACTTAACAGACACGGAGAAGTTAAAAGGGCAAAATTAAAAATTAATGTAGCATTAATTAACAATTAAAATATGTTTTGGAATCATTGTCTAAGTCTGCTTCCAGCAAAAAAGAAGAGAGGTGAACAGTAGAAAGAGATATGCATAAGATAAATGTATCTGCTTTAGTTGAAATGACCAATGCTATTCAACACAAAGCTCTCATAATAAGGGGATGTTTAGATTAATATGCAGTAGTTTATAATAATTATCTGCGTGGCAACAAAACATGCAGCCGAACCCTTACAATGGTCCATTTATTACTTTTATCAACTTATAATTATAGACAAAAACTAATTTATAAAATAGCAACAGGAATAAATGAATGAAAAATAATTTTATGTCTTTTATTTAATTTATTTTTTTAACTTATACATTGTATTGTTTTTCTTTTTACAAGTATATTTCTATTTCCTTTAATGTGTATATTTTTACTTATGTTTCATTCTTATTTTATTTTCTTCTTAGCTTGTATTTTAATTTCTGTATAAGAATGAATGTAAGCACACATCCATAATACCAAATGCCCTTGGTTGTGACAGATTATATTGATACTATTCAAATAAATCTATCAAAAAATAAAATAGCACTGATTGGATATTTATAAAATATTCCAATGTATGCGAGGAGTAGATTAAAAACTTGCCCTACGTTCCATTATTTTCTTTCGTAGTAAGAAAATTTGCTTGTTCGTAATTTCTAATGTTACATTTTTTCTTTTCACCTTCTTTCATACACCGGTCCTGCAATGTGTATTTGTTCATATGTACATGCTCCAAGCATTGAGCATAATACAATACACGCACAAATTAAATGAAATATTACATAGTTTTTATAAATTACACTATGATAGTTATAAAATAAATAGTTAAGATATTATTAACAATATAGTCTAACGAAAAAGAAAATTAAATAAAAGTAAAATTATACAGAAATTTCGAAATATCGAAAAAGTGAAGAAACAAAAGCTGATAGAAATCTAATTCATTTTTACAATTTTTATTAAAATCTGTCACATATATGTATAACAAGGAGCCAATTAGATGATGACGGTTATGGGCATTTGCGATATGCAAAAGAGTAGTACTTTACGGCTATTACCCAAAATTCTGGAATTGGAGTCATGGAACTCTTTTTTAGTTGCCTCTTTTTGGGGATATCAAGCTGTAGCCATATGGTCGTACAGTCTTTTATGAAAACGAAGTAAAGGAAGTTAAAGAGTAATATTAAGTAAATTCGGTAAGCAGCGGATTTGTGTAAGTTTTTTTTTTATGCCGACCAGTTGTATGAGGAAATGCTGCTGCTTTTAGTCGTCCCAATCTCCACTTTGGATAACTATTAAACGTTGAAATAAATAAAAGGCAAAAAGAAATAACCTAAAGTCTTAATAACCTAATAGATAATTTTTTTTTTCAAAAACATTCGGCAAAAATTGAAACTCTTCATAGAAATGAAGGAGGTATTAACAGACAACGAAGATAAAGTAACCACCCTATTCCGATACTTAATAGAGACCAAATATTACAATGGGGTATAGAAAACTAGCCGCCAATGACCTTCTAGGATAGAGGCGATTACAAAGAAAAAAAAAAAATTCTCGGTTACTAAGGCACATTGGAACGAACGCTTTGGGACATTTGTATAATATTTTTTATTGTAGAATTATCCCGAAAAAAATAAAAAAAACTTGGACGTTATCAGTGAACCACTGACTTATGACCTTCGCTGTAAGATATTGTTCGATGTTATAACATTTTGATTTATTAAATATTGACATAGACGTTTTCACCTGCCTTCAGTTCTTTGAGTTTACTCCGATTTTTTTAACCATCCTAACGTTAATTATAACTTCGACAGTGTATCTTTAGTAATCTTTGCCAGTGTATTGTTTGACTATAGTCTCTGAACAAATGTTTGTGTTTGTCGCCAACCTGCCGGAAAAAAAAAATTAATCGATTAGTAGGTCAACCTTTAGGCCATTAAAGTTTCAGGTCGCTATGTAGCCAGAGTGGAGCGCCCACGATCTGCCTCATCGCATCTGAATTGTTAAAATGAATCTTTGCAGAACTTAGAAATTTCAGAACTTAGAAATTTTATAGAAGAAGATAACTTAGTGGTAAATTGAACAGCATTTATTAGATACTATCTTCAAGTTGTCAGACCATAAGTCAGTTTGTTAGTAGGAGTTTTTTTGAGAGGTTAGTAATCTAGAAAAAAAAAAGGCTTTCGGTGAGGCTATATTCAGACCAAATCTCGCAATTAACAGCGACATGATTCTTTGTCGGATAAGATTTAGTACGGTGAGGTTCGGCGGCACAGCATGCGGGCGATAACACACCGCTTGGCTCAGTCCCAATCCACTGCTTTACGGGAACTCCCGCCATGTTCCCTACAGGAAACCTAGTTTTTTGGCGGGAAAAAGAGAAAACCCGTGATATAAGTCAGTTGTTTACTGTAGAACAGTAAACATAAATGCTATATTTCATGTCTTGTGTTTTTATTTATTTTTTTGTCGTAACGTCATTATTGTTATTTTCTCCAACAGCACATCATTGGAGCGAAATGTTCGATAATATAATAAAAAAAATAAAGTCAGTAAAATTTAAAATAAAGTATCTTCTGTTTCGTTAGCAAGCACGTATACTAGAATTATTTTTAAGAATTCAAAGGATTTCAGAGCTTAAAAAAATAGAATGAAAACCTATACGGTATTATATATAAAAGGTAGACTGATGCACATTTATTTTGAGCTCTGCTATTATTCTAAGAAGAATTTTGTATGTCTTATTTAAAGAAATTATAAGCTCTTATACTTTCAAATTTTTTATTGTGCTTCCAACGACTTTTTGAGCTGATTAACTCATTATCAAGTCATCTACAAATAAGAATTAACAAAAATAATTTACAACAATGATCGCTCATTATCTAGGCATATAAAAAGTGAGTACTAACCGTAAAAATTGCTTATCTACTAAAATGTATTTTTATGTTACAATTTCATTGAACATCTATTTGTATTACAAATTATTTTTCATTTCATTTCATTGCAGTAGCTATTAATAGTAATATTAATCCAAAAATGGTTTTGTATTTCATTTATACAATAGATTAAAAAACTAGACAAGAGATAATAGAAATGAAAAAATAATATTATATTGTTAGGTCCAAAAAATTAAATTTTACATTATTTTTTTTTTCTTACTAGAACTTTGGACTGAAAGGATGCGTTTGATGTTAGAAAATTTTGCTGTCCCCCAAAATCAAGCCCGTAGATCCAAATAGGTTTAAGGATTGTCTTGTAGATCAGTAATTTCTTGTCAAATTGAAAGTTGAGATTTTGTAGTCAGTAGTCTATATAATTGACCGTATCGTCAGTTGTGTTACCCAAATGCGAGATCGAGACAAGTCTTAGTCTTACAAACTCAGTCTTGGTCTTGCGCAAGACTCTCGCAACAGTCTTGCAGTTACTTATTAGCTTACTACTGCT